ATTCTTTTTTTAAGAAAGTTAAAATTAAAAATGCCCCCCCCCCCAAAAAAAAAAAAAAAAAAAAAAAAAACTGCCTCTCCATCTCTTGCTATCTCTCTCTCAGAAAAACAGATAAATTATGTAGTCTACATTTGACTTTTTTTTTTAGATGGAATGAAGTAACAGATAATAGACATCATTTGTAATATTTTTTTTTTCAGGCAAATCCCACAGCAATGGCACATCTCCAGTGTTTAGTAAAAGTGAATCTCCAATTACAAAAAGCAACGAATCCGAACTCTCGGGACATTCAGCGTGGACGATAAGTTCTCTGGACTCTGCGGGCAGTGATAACAGTGGTAGCCTTCGTAACGGAACTCAAGACAAGCCAGACTCAGAAGTTGATGGTCTAGACGAGTTTGATGATTTTAAACTGCCAGATTTGGGTCTTTCAGTAAGAGACACTTTTTCTTTTATGATCCATGTTATTAGATATTCAATAACATACCTTATATAAAGGTGTTGTCAAAACAAATTTTAGATTTGTTAGCATAAAGACTAATCTAGACCACAAAGTTAACCAAAAGGAGTTTCCAGACATAATTTTGTTTTTTTCCCCTTCCAGATGGACCTTGATTTTGGGCCATCTTTCATGGATGAAATGATGAAAGCTCTAAGTGAGAAAACAACAGATGATTTCACAGTGGAAAAGAAGGAAGAGAAAAGGGAAGACACACAACAGGCAGAGACACAGGAGTTCAAAGAAAACACTCCAGGTAGAATAAAACCATGCTTTTAGATGGATATAAGCATTTCTTGTAAAAAAGGATTTTAAACCATGATATGTAACACATATTTTACAGGACACCCGTTTCATTTGGACGTAAGACTTTATTTAATCAGCATAAATATCTTTTATGTCATTAGCTAAGGCAAGTTAATTCAGACTTTTTAATAATAAGGACCATTTTCACCTCTTCAGTTTCAGACACCCCCAGCAGAGAGAGCTCTTCAGAAAAGGAGATCAGATACTCGTGGGGTTCCCAAGAGGAGCTGCTCAGTAGCTCCAGTGATGAACTCAAACACAAAGATGACAGCGACAAGAAACATGGAGGACAGAAGAGGAGGAGCAAATTAAAATTGGTACGATACCTCAGCCCATCATCTGACGAGGATTATTGTGCTGCTGATTGAAAACCCACAACAAAATCAGTCTGGCCTTATTTCAAAAATTAAGCTGTTCCTTTTCATTCCGTATAAAAAATATAAAAATATTTTCATCCCAGTCTGCTTGAGTGCTTCATCCACCAACAGTGTCACATATTGTGTAACATTTTCCTTTGCTTAAAATAAACCTTGAGGTGTTACAGGTTTTTTCATGTGTATCCGTAACCCTGGTGTTTATTCATATTTCCAACTTTTGAAACTTTCATGTTCACTAACTTGTACCAATTGTGTAAAGATGATATACATTTGCTTGGTATATTCAAATCCTTATGAAAACCAAATTTTATGAAGCAGTAAAATGAGAAAGTTTCAGAAGTCTGACCTATTTATATTTATATTTATCTGGTTGACCTGTCCCTTTCACCAAAGCTGACCTTATGTCTCCCCACTTTCTTTCAGACTCCTTTCAAAGAGGACAAAGACAAGTCAGAGAGCAGGAGCAAAGAGAGACATTCGTATGTGAAGCAGCTCTCTGCGTCTGACGAGAAGCAACTGGAAACGGCAATTGCCATGGCGAATCAAATCGCCCAGGAACAGTTGACACCTAAATCGCCAAAAAGTACTGATGAAGACGATGGAAACGACACTCCATCGAGAAAGTCAAAGTTCAGTTTTAAGTTCCCAGTAAAGAAGACCAGTCCGCAGCCTGAGAAAAGGACATTTTCAGACGAGTTAGCGCGGAGTGCTGACGCAAATGAGGACATACCTCCAGAAGCACAAGAGGCTTATAATATGCTAGTGGTTCGTGGGTCCGTGAAAGAGAAATGGGAACCCCCAAAGAGGGAGTCGGAATGGGAGCCAAAAAAGAAAGAAGAGGAAGAGGATGAAGAAGAAGATGAACGTTCAGACAGACCCGAGGTGTACAGGGGATCGTCGAGTGCGATACAGTCTCGACCATCTCACTCACGACAGCAGCGGTTACAACGCTCTCAGGAGCATCAGCGCAGAACTTCAGAGTCTGGTGAGTCTGGCATCGCGGCTGCTAATCGTAACCTCAAAGACCCTCAGGGTATCCCAGCACGAGATACCTCAAGCAAAGATGAAGAAAGTGTGAATCCACTGAGGATGTTGAGAGCCGGAGGAGGTGGTTTTGTGGTTCCGCCAAGATCCAGTGGACGACGTCAGATGGTTGGCCGGGGTGGAAATACTGACTCTGAGGCGCCTCGACCTGTCCCGCGTCCACGCTATGCAGCACGTCTCAATGCTGATAAGAAGGAAGAGAGTAATAGTGCTGAGAGTTTGGGCAGCGGAGGAAGTGGAAGCAGTGGAGGACGCACCTCCATTCAGAAACCAAGTTACTTTCGTAAATTCCAAGAATTTGACGATGCTTTAAAGGGAAACTCTTCCGAGAGTGATTCCAAGGAATCTATAGATAAAGTAGGCACTGAGGGACGGGAGAGACCTGACATTTCAAACCCTCTGCCTCTGCCACCAAGAAAACCTTTAAGGCCCTCAACATTGAACCAGAAGCCAAGGGAGAGAAAGTACCCTTTGGAAAATGAAGGAGAATCGAGAGAAAGGCGCTCGCACCTGCCACAGCCCCCACCAGTTCCTCGGAGCAATGGGGCATTTGATCGTGAAGATGAGGTATTTAGTTCTGACCAATCAGATCGCAGTGCGTCCCCGGGGACGTTAGTTAGCAAAGCACACATAGCCATGAGGACTGTCCATTGTAACAATGACGAAATTGGACTTAATAATAATCTTGATCCCTTCTGGAGGGAGGAAGTGAACTTTGAGCGCCTTCCCCAGGGCGAGATTAAATACAAAACTTCGGACAATGTTAGTTATGAGGACTTAATGGAATTTGCCTTGGATACCGGAGAATCTGGGTGAGTACACAGCAGGCTTCTTTAAGTTCATTTTCTCTGTGTGACAGGGCTGTTCACACACAGGCTACAATATATGTACATCACTTTTGAACCAGTGTGGGCAGTACCTCCAGATTGCACCTGAATTGTTGGTTGCACTCTGTCTTGCTTGGTCCAAAGCTTGTTGTCAAGCAGTCCACTCTTTTTGTCAGGGACATGACAGAAAGCAATCAGCACCTTGAGCATTATTCAAATATAAGGCCAACATCTGAGTGGTCCAGAACTGATGTACATCATGCCTTGTGTATGTGAATCTGCCCAAATTCTCTCTTCTCTTGCTAATTGGGGCTAGGTGAGCCTATGGTCAGTCGGTCAGTCAGTCAAGGATTTGAGGTGGTCAAAGCGGAGCTGGTAATACAGTGTCCATATGGTCCTTTTTTTGGAGATGAGCAGTAGCAAGTTGCCAACCAAAACTTGTCTCAAGACATCAAAGCTAGGCTATGGACAGGCAGTTGATTAAAATTTGCCTTTAAAATCATTACTTGAAATGCAGTCTCTCCAATACAGGGATACATGTAAAATATTCATGTTACTTGTGTATGACTTTGTAAGAAGTAAGAAGTTCAGCTTTTACTTAATTTTACAACAGTGGACAATTTTATAAATCTTCCTCATTCCCTGTATATGATTTTGAAATTTATTTCCAAAATGCACCCAGTTTCTGCCATCATATATTTTGATCATCCTTGCAGTAATTTCACTCACCCCCCCCCTTTCCTCATTGCTTTAAAATGGTATCTTATCAATGATTTTGTTCATCCTGAAGATGAGGCTTGTCTTGCATTTGCCCCCCCCCCCCACCCCCTTTACACAGTGCAAGAGATTTGGGAATTTATTTCAGAGAAAATTGCTGCTGTGTAGTTATCAAGATTTTCTAATATCCTCACATATATAGCCAGATGATTCCCTCCTGTGTAGGTCAAATTTTACACCACTGCTCATATTTTGTTTGTATAACAAGTGATCATTTAATTTATCATTTGCTGTCCAGAAAGTTTAAAGACAAATTCAAAGCTCAAGCTGTTTTTATTTATTTATTATTATTATTATTTTTTTTTTATGGCTAAGGTTTGTTATCAGAAACAGATGAATTTCCTATTTGAGCAGTGTTGTAAAATTTCATTTTTAGGAAAACTTGTGTAAATCAACCCCTTTCAAGCCCCCGTTCACAGCTTTCTTTTATTTCATTTCCTCACATGCAGCAAAAATTATAGGACAAAAGTGCCTGTCTGGTAAGTCCAGAATAGATATTGTAGAAATTGTTGTGGTTTTGTTGTATATTTCTGGCATCACTCCAAACAACCTTGGGCTAAAATTGTGAAACCTGAAAAAGGTTACAATATATATATATATATATATATATATATATATATATATATATTTTATTTATTTATTTATTTATTATTTTTTTTTTTTTTGTGAGTGATCATCTTGACCACATATGTAGTAAATCATGGTTAAAAGATACTGGAGTGAAGCCAGATAATGTGTTATATGCATGTTTATATATATATATATGAATTGCATGAAGATCATGTGACCTTAGAGCAAGGTCATGTGATGATCATGTGATTTACTAAGACGTATTGGTTTAGTGATGATGCATATAGTCAGTATTAGAGATTTAATGGACATGATTGATTCCAGGAAACCGTGTAGAGAGGTGGAAGCTATGCAGAAAATTCTTGGAAAGCAGGTGAGAAACTCTCTCTCTCTCTTTCTCTCACCGCTTACTTGAAATTCATGATATTTCCTTAATGAATTCAGTTTTTAAATGTATTCATAGTTGCCAGCACTTGAAAATTGAAATTTAGGGCAGTAGGGAAGGGTGGATACTGACTTAATACCAGTCAAATTACCATTACTCAGTGAATACTTGTAGTGTTTTATTTTGAACTCCTAAACATCAATGCCTACACATAAGAAGAACAGACTATCCTGTTAATTGTCACATGTGTTTACTGACCATGTTGTTTTCCTTTTTTAATCCAGATAGCTATCAGTGACTGTCGCCAGGCTTTGGATAGCACCCAATGGGACGTCCCCACCGCCATTAAGTACATCAAGCTGAAGATGTTACTGAGCACACAGCTGGGAGATGTGGCCAGGTGTAAGGAGGCTCTGAGGAACTGTTCCTGGAATGTGGAGCAGGCAGCTAATTACCTGCTGTCCAATCCTGACTACAGCCCTGAGTGTGTGGATGTGTGATTGTGTTGTCACAACCGGGGATTGTCACACCTACTGCAATCACAGTATATTGGAATGTTGTGGATTGTACGGCATTGCCAACTTGACAGTTCTCAGAAGGCATAGATTAATTGTCTTACGTCTTATTAACAGTGGAATGGTGTCTGCAAACAATGGGAATCTGACCTAAAGAATATGCTTGATTGTGACAAGTTGGCAGTTGTTAATGTGTTGTCACGACTGAATGTGTCACACCTAACGCAATGATGAAAAAAACTAGGACTGCATCGATTGTGATTGTGTTGACACAACCACATTTTCACACCTAACACATCTGGTAATACAAGTAGAAGGACAGATAACTTGATTGTGATTCTGCTGCCAGGATATCTAATAGAACTTCGCCTGACTGCACAGCACACTGTATAGCTGTGTGCCTGATTGTGCTAACACAACCAAACTATCACACCTAACGCAATGTGTGTGATATTGAATTTTTACCAGGAAATAATTGCACTGTTGAGGTCATGAGACTGACCTTGAGGTTATATTCCTGAGAGTTGAACTCTCCCGATTGTGGCGTGATTGTTCAAAAGAGAGGTCTGGACCTTTTATTCAGAGGGATATGAAATATCTGCCAAAATAGAAGGAAATGTGTATCAGTGAGAGTTCTGGTCATAATACAAAACTGCATCTTGACTATATGGTCTACATTCAATTTGACGTATGGATATTGTACATGTACAAGAATTTTCCTCATTATGTAATGCAGTCTACTCGCTGCTCAAGTTTGTAAAAAATGTATCATGTTGTAACGTAGAGGCTTTTTGCTTGGATGTATTATTAATAACAGCTTTTAGTAAAGAGTCTTAAAAAGAATACTGCCATGGAATAGTCAGATGTTTTGTGTATGAAATGAGTGATGGAAAACTATGCACTTCAATGCTGCTCTTGAAATATGCTGCAATTGATGTTTGCTACTTTGCTAAATAATGGCACAACGAGTACATTTCTATTACTCAGAGTCTGATATTTGTTATGGAAAGCGTCTGGTTTATTTGAATATATGAAATATGTCATGTTTAGCATGATTGGTCTGGACGTGGCAACAGTAAAGAAGTGATATATAATTGGATTAGTACAAACATGCTAGACCTTGTCTAATGAACCATCTAACAAGATACATAAGCTTCTGAAACATGTTTTTTTTTTTTATTCATGGAATAAATTGTCTGAAAGCAAGACTTAGGCCCTTTTTAAATTGCGTGGTGCACTTTTCTGTTTAATTCCATTCTGAGAAATAGACAACCTAACTAATATGTTAGGAAGTGGTCTTAACCGAGACCCTGCTCTCAACTGGGCCTGTGGACCTGAAAGCTAGACTTGCTCATTTCTGCTGTAGTAATCTTGCCTTTAGCATCCATTAGAGAAATGGGTTAGTAATAGGTAAATTGTTTGGCAGAATGTCAGATGGGTTGACTCTGGTGATCTATCAGTAGTCAGAAAGCAAGATTGCGTTGGCACAATCACAGGTGTCACACCTAATGCAATTATGAGTTGAGAAACTACAAATTACAATGGACAAAAAAATTGCAGCAGTCATAGACATATCCAATTGTCTGGAAATAAAAGTTGCCATCATTTTACACTTGAAGTGATTCAAGCTAGCTGAGTAATGGATAGTTGTATGTCTTCAAGATTGTCATGCGGGAGCTTTTCGTGTTTTATGATGTCTTGAAGACCTTGGATGCCTTGGTTTTGTCAACAACACAACTGATTTGGAGAAATTCCAGTGAATGTCTCTGTTGCACAGCTGTCATGTATGAAAGGAGAAAATTGAGAAGACGCCCCCTAGTATTTTGTCAGTTCCATAAAGCTATCACACCTGACTGCCTCCGAACTGCTTTCACTGCTAACAACCTGTGAAGGCAGTCACATGAATAGAAATGTCAAGTTAGCTGTATAATATCAGTACAATATGGAAGATGAGAGCCCAGTGAGATTGCTTGTTATTTTTGGCTATTTATAGGTTACAGACAGCAGTGTCACATTAGTAGGTCTTCAGGTCATAAGATTTTCATGATTGCTTTTTTTAATCTATAAAAGAATTAAACTTTTTCCGATTGATGACTTATAAAAACACAAGCTATATTCTATGTAGCAGGTTTTAGATTGGAAAACACTTACAACATCTTTGAAAACAACATGGCCAAGTGAAAAACCATTTACCCAGTATATCCCCAGTTAACAATATAAGGAACGACTCTTGTTATAATTGTTTTACAGCACAGACAAATAGAACTGTTTACCATTTTAAAAAGAGTTTTAGATTTGTGGAAAATATTCACAAAGTTGAAAAATCTAATTTATTTCAATATATTTTGTTCAAGTTGAACATTCTAAGATGCTCCCCAGATTATACTTTCTGAGTTGAGCCCAATCAGTTGCCTGAAACTTCAGAATCATTCACAAAGTCTTGCTTTTCTCAAAGGAATTTGATGTTGATAAAATGGTGGCCTAAGTTCTCTGTCTGAACTGACAGTTCACAATGATACTGCAGTTCTGATAAGAGGATGAGATGACTTCCAGCAGATAAAATAGTGGAAGCTTTCTCAGACATGCTATTTTGCCTCATTAAAAAATGGACCCCCCCCCATTTTTTAGTGCGTGTGTGTGTGGGGGGGGGGGGGGGGGGGGGGGGGGGCTGATTTTGGCAGCCCCCAGAACCTCAGTTGTAAGGTCATCGAACCATTTCTTCCCACTTATCTTACTACCCAAAGTCATGTACGTTCTCTGACAGTTCTCAAATTTTTTAGGGGAGGGGGGGGGGGGGGCAGGGGAATTTTCAAATTTGATGAATTGACCACTGTGTTCCATTTTTTCTGCAGCAATTTTGTAAAGGCATGGAATCCTAGCATGCATAGCATTTTTGGTAAGTCCAATTACAGGTTTTTTGATGATTTAGTTGCGGCTTTATCTTCTGATAATAAAACACACTCATTTCTTCATCTACTTATGATCTTTTTATATCATCTGTCACATGTTCAATCTCCTAAAATCACCACCACATCCTGTTTTTCTCGATCATGAAATTAGATATTGGATATTGTCTCTTCTAATCCCACAAGGTAGTTTGCCTTTTCATTTTTCATTTCTAGTATTTCTTATATATANTTTTTTTCATCCACTTATGATCTTTTTATATCATCTGTCACATGTTCAATCTCCTAAAATCACCACCACATCCTGTTTTTCTCGATCATGAAATTAGATATTGGATATTGTCTCTCCTAATCCCACAAGGTAGTTTGCCTTTTCATTTTTCATTTCTAGTATTTCTTATATATAAAAAACAGCAACTATTTGTCTGATGAGCCTTCTCACTGTAAATCTAGAATTTCCCAAGATTAGCTGCCCTTGATGGAATTTTAATCTGTCACTTTGATTAAAGTGCTCTCTGGGCTGTAGAATTGGAGATTGATAACATTTTAATTGGTTTTTTCTTGCCCAATTTTTTAAACTTTAGATTAAAATGGATTTAATGTCATGTGCAGCCTGGAATGATGGTTCACTGTGAGAGCTGATTGCTTGAATTTTCTTCCTTTTTTTCTGATCAAATTACTAGACATAAATGAACTGCAGGGATGTTATTAAGTGGTATGCTCAGGATCAAGAAGCTTTATGGGAGATAAGAAATTGCAGGTTGTATAAAATTTTTCTTATACCCAGTCCTTCAGCCGGGGATGTAAGTACCCAAGGGGGAGGGGGGAGGGTCAGTAGCCAAAAAAGAAGCTATAAAGCTAACTTGAGAGCAAACCCATTAATGCTGTATGCAGAAGCTTTCTCCAATTTCCTGACAACACAGAAATCCAGCTGCTGCTCCTGATGTTGCTGAATAAAACATGAAGTCCTTGCAATGCCTCTGGAAATAGGTCTTTCATCTTCTTATTGGTATTACAGAACCCTTGTTATTGGTATTATAGAACACTTGTTTATTTTCCACCTGCTATTATTTCGGCTTCTACACTGTAGGCACACTTTCTTGTGGGTGATTTAATCTCGGATGATGGTGATTATCACCAGTAAGACTGAACAAGATGGACATGTAAGATAATTACAGGCACTTGTCTTGTAAATGCAATTAAAACTTTGACCTTTATGTGACCTTGACAAGAATTAGCATTGATGTATTTATACAGATGGAAGATGACTTTTTCTGTCAGTAAAAAGTGAAAAAGATGGTCAGGGAGTAGGCTATTTGTTAAGTGAAAGGTAAAAAGGTGTCAGTCAATTAAGAATATTGAGAATATCAGAATGGCAAAGTTAGAATGTGTGATTAAGAAAGGATAAGTGGATAGGCCAAACCTGTTATTTTCACACACTGTCTTTGATTGGGAAGAACATGGTTATAATTGGGTCGAAATAAGGAGAGTTTGGAAAAAATACTACAATTAGCTTCTATTTTAGGATAGACCTGGTGATACAATGTCAGCCTCAATTATTTTGCAAGGTGATATATATCTGTTACTGGTGGTTCTGTTGATTTGCTATTGGGGTGGTGTAGGAAGGTAAGCCATGGTTTTTGTGATTAATTCAGCTGCCTGTAAAGGTTTTTTTTTTTAATAATGGTAACAGTAATTGGGGCTCCTTCCCACTGAAAGCATCAGTCTACCTAGATCAACCCAACTCCGCAGAGACTCTTGTTAAATGCAATCAGTTTAACAGACAAAGAATAAAAAACAGCAAGGTTGATGATTATACAAGTATGTTGGAAATGAGGAGGCGTGTTGGCCTTTTAAATCAGGCCTACCCAACTACCAGACTCGGCACCGAATGATCCTGAATTCACCGGTAAATCGGACCACACTACCTGTTTTCCAGGTGTGTATCAGTACGCATTACACAGTATCAGACGCGACACCGCTCTTGCTTAGTAGGCGATGTGATAGTGATGATTCTCAGCGGGGTTGAAAGCTATTGCATCACCACTCAAAATTTGTTAAGGGTATGATACTGTGTAATGCGTACTGACTCACACCTTGAAAACAGGTAGTGTGGTCTGATCTACCGGTGAATTCAGGATCATTCGGTGCCGAGTCTGGTAGTTGGGTAGGCCTGTAAATGGATTGCATCCAACGAAAGACCCTGCAAAGTTGGATTGAGCTACAGAGACTGATAGTGTCAGTGTGAATGTGCCCTTAGACGCCCTAGGAAATGATAGATGTTCTGTGGGCAGGCCTGTCAAAGGAAATGTGAAAGCCAATAATTTGAGGGCGTTTAGAAATAGAAACATTGAATGATAGATAAATAATATCTTTTCTTAATGTGACATTTTCTCAAAGGGCACAGCCAATAAATACTACAGTTGAAAAAGTTCAAAAAGGTACACCAGTCATAGTATGCGTATGCCACACAGATAGGGACAAGGACAGTCTAATAATTTATAGCAGTATCAAAGCAGGCCAGTAGCCAAGGTTGTTGTTGGGGGGGGGGGGGGGAGNTTTCTTCATCTACTTATGATCTTTTTATATCATCTGTCACATGTTCAATCTCCTAAAATCACCACCACATCCTGTTTTTCTCGATCATGAAATTAGATATTGGATATTGTCTCTTCTAATCCCACAAGGTAGTTTGCCTTTTCATTTTTCATTTCTAGTATTTCTTATATATAAAAAAACGCAACTATTTGTCTGATGAGCCTTCTCACTGTAAATCTAGAATTTCCGAAGATTAGCTGCCCTTGATGGAATTTTAATCTGTCACTTTGATTAAAGCATTTACACTCTGGGCTGTATAATTGGAAATTGATAACATTTAAATTGGTTTTTTCTTGCCCATTTTTTTAAACTTTAGATTAAAATGGATTTAATGTCATGTGCAGCCTGGAATGATGGTTCACTGTGAGAGCTGATTGCTTGAATTTTCTTCCCTTTTTTCTGATGAAATTACTAGACATAAATGAACTGCAGGGATGTTATTAAGTGGTATGCTCAGGATCAAGAAGTCTTGTGGGAGATAAAAAATTGCAGGTTGTTTAAAATTTTTCTTATACCCAGTCCATCAGCCGGGGATGTAAGCACCCAAGGGGGAGGGGGGAGGGTCAGTAGCCAAAAGAGAAGCTGTAAAGCCAACTTGAGAGCAAACCCATTAATGCTGTATACAGAAGATTTCTCCAATTTCCTGACAACACAGAAATCCAGCTGCTGCTCCTAATGTTGCTGAATAAAACATGAAGTCCTTGCAATGCCTCTGGAAATA